TTTTTCTCCACCATAATGCCAAGCTCTTCCAAAGTTTTTTCACGTTCACGTTGAATCTCTTCAGTTTTACGCATTTTTTCTTGCCACGTTTCGTTAACTTCAGTCATCAATTTTTCAGAAGCGAGTATTTGATCAAGTAATTCTTCTTTATTCTTCTTTATTGTATTACCATCCTTGTCCGTAAGTACAACAAATTGTTGAGAAGGTGGAAGATCTGCATCCTTACGTGATTCTCCTATTACGTCACTGATATTTGCATTAGGATCTATACCAAGCTTACCACGCAATAATTGTAATTCTTCTTTAAGTTCACGAATAAGTTTGGCATTAGGATCTTCGTTGACAACAGCCTTATTCTTAATACGTTTGGCTGCATCAGCATAACGAAGAGTGCTAAGGGTTTCATCATAATCAGCAGGTGAAATTGCAGCAATCATAGCAGTTTTAGAATTACCACCCAAACTGTCTTTTAATAGCCAAGTCAAAACCTAATAAATGATAAATAAAATAATAATAAATATACAACATATAATATAAAAATTCTTCAATAAAACTTGATTAACTAATCATAACATACTGAATCTCTATATGGTACAAAACTATCGCCTTTCTTTCCTCCCTTTTTACCACCACCACCACCTGATGATTGTTCAGCTAAAGCAGAAATAACTTTACCCAATGTTGTTAAAGACTTGTTAATATTTGCTCCTTCTTTTAACCGTGCACCTGTTGCACCAGTAGAATTTGCACGCTCAGAACCAGCTAAATCAACAAGACTGATAATAAAATGATAATAATATTATTGTTATTGAGAAAATAATTAATAAATAAATAATTTGTATATTTTATAATCAAAAAATAAATTGATTTTACCTGATGCGAGAAACTTTTTCAGTATCCATATTAGTTTCAGGGTCATGGCGTTTTTGAGTTACTAATAATGTGAATACAGCATGAGAACGACTTGAAGTCTCATTCATATTTGTTGCTGCCACTGTTCTTGCCTATAAAAGCCCCAGAATGAATTGGAAAATTTTTTCCATAAGGTTAATTCTAAAGTTATTTAGTTTTTTTTTAAAAAATATAATAATTATAATTTGTATATAAAATTACCTTATTACCCTCATCCATTAAATTTTCAATATCTTCAAAAGAATTAACAATCAATTTAGATAAATCTTCAACATATGGACCTAACAAAGGATGTTCTCTGACTTTAAGATTTCCTTTATTTTTAGGATTTAATAAATCTCTAACACGCTCATTATAAATTTCAATATATGAAACCTGAACTTGGTAAGTTAAATTTGGATCATTGGAATTATCAATTCTTTTAAATAATTCAAAACATGTTAAAGGTATGATTCCTTTATCTTCACCATATCCCATCTTTTACCAAGTTCAATTTTAAATTTTTTTATAAATAAAAATATTGGAAAAAATAACAAAAAAGATTTTGTGTATAATTAAATTTTTTCTTATACCATTGAATATGATTTTCCAGAACCAGTTTGACCATCTGAATAAAGATTAAAAGAATGGTATTATTCTTATGAATTTATATCATAATAAATAATAAATATGATGATTAATAAATGTTATGTGTGTGTATATATTGCAAACAAACTTACAAGCAAAAATACAAGTATTATATCCTCCAAAAGCATGGTTAAGTAAATCTTCCCCAAGATCATCATATAACATTGATTGAGTAGCATAAGTTGGATCCCTTTTGTCAAAAGACCAGTAAGACTTAT